GTGGTTTATTCCTTCATTAGACTTTTTGTTTGTTTGTTTTAGTTTATTGATTTGAGAGGGAGGGAGGGAGAAAGGAAGAAAGGAAAGTGAGCACTCCCCTCTGTTAGTTCATTTCCCAAATGTGTCCAACAGCCAGGGTTGGGCCAGGCTGAAGCCAGGAGCTGGGAACTCAATCCAGGTCTCCCTTGTGGGTGACAGAAACCCAATAACTTGCTCCACTGCCGCTGCTTCTCAGGGCCTGCCATTAGCAGGAAGCTGGAGTCAGGAGCCAGAACTGAGAATTGAAACCCGGTACTCTGATTTGTGATGCATGGAATCTTAACCATTAGGCCCAAATGCTCACTCTTAGGCCTTCATTTTTGTTAAGAAAAACAGGTATTTTAGGCATCTCCAGGTGAGGCTTTATTGGCAATTGTACTGACATCCTCTTTAAACTGGTAGGCAAGTGTTCTAACTGCTCTACAGTGTGCTTCCTTATTCTCTAAAGGTTCATAAGCACGCAATGAGAGATTCAAAACAGAGATATCAGCACTTAAATGACAGAACTGGGTAAGACAAGAAAAGAGATAGAAGGTCAGGAAATGCGTATTATGGAACTTTGGTCTTGTCTCAGATTGGCATATTCTGGACTTCCTCCTACCTCCTCTCAAATTGTTTTGCTTCTCCTTTTGGCTCCTTGTTCCCAGCTGTCCAAGCAGCTGCCTTAAGTAGGCTCTTGTATCTCAGCTGGACTTCCAACAGCCTCCCAAATCTGCCCAGTCTTGCCTTCTTCCTGCCTGCACTGTGCGGAATGCCAGGGTCATGAGCATTGAAACACATCAAATATGCCAGGTCATGCTGCTCACTGCTTGAAACACTCCACAGACTCACTGTCTTTGGGACAGAGTACTGATTCCTTAGCATGCAACTCCAGACCTGACCCGTCTGTCTCCAGACTTTCAGTCCTACCACGAGGAACCACTTCCCATTTCCCAACTGAACCACCTTATTTTCACGTTGCTCTCATTTCCAACATACTGGTCTTTCTCACTGAGATACCAGTTCTCTGTTTTTCACTTTTCAAGGCTGAGCTCAAGCATCAGTTTCTCTGCAAAGGTTTTCTGGAACCCTTTCCAATCTTCTGAGTTGAATTTTGCACTGCCTCATTAGCATCATGTTCATACCTCTGTAATAGTACCTATCACTTATCTAATTATTTTCTCTCACATCAGTCCCTCAAAATGGATGGAGGAAGCCCCATGAGAGCAAGTGCTAGCCCATCTGTGTGTTTATATGCCTACTAATTGGTAAAATGGGCTGTCACATAAAGGATACTGGTAAATACCTGGGGAGTGAATGAATGACTGTTATCCTCCAGTTTGAAATTCATTTGCTCAGCCCACACAAGCATACATGCACACATCAAAATTCAGCATTTGCAACTTTCAGTGTGTAGGATGACACAAGCACCCTGAACTTGATCTATTTAATGGTCCTGTATAACAGTGGAGATGAGTAAGCAAAAGGGATAAAGCAGAGATTTTGTGTTGGCCTCTAAACTTTCCACTCTTTCATAATTTAATTTTTATGTCTGCTGAGATGACAAATGAATGTGTGTATCATGTTCATGCTTGGCTCAGTGAGCAGACATCATTTGGGTGCTGACCATGTAGACTAAAATGTCCTAAGCAAGGATACTGTGTAAAGGACTAGGAACCATCATCTAATCCTCTTTCTCAACATGTCTTTAGTGACCATGCAACCAATGACCAGTAGGCAGGGAGTAATCATTGACTCATCTCTTCTTGACTTGTGGTATTGTTTTGGAAAGAAAGTTGACATATATTTCTTCCTGTTTAAGCAACAGGTACTTGTGATTGTCACTTTTGCTTAACAAACTCACAAAGAAGAAAATTTGAATTCCTAAGGGTTGGAGGGGGAGAGAATAAGATATATACTAACGTCAGGACCTAACCCCGTGGAAGCAGAGCAGCAAAACTGAAGAAAGCTGGTAAGATGAAGGGAAGCTTTTTTGGGGGGCATAACTCAATGGAGTAGTTGCTACTTCAGTTCTTTGCTTGGTGGGCCTTTTATGAGATTATATAGACCAGAAGACAGCATCAGTTCAAGGGGAGAAAAGAAAGGAAAAGGAACAAAAATATTTAAATCTGGGCTTAGTATTACAAACTAGGATGTGCAGGAAATACTGGTGTTTGTAAGGTATCTAGAGTGCAGATAACACTGGATTATCCCAAATTGTTGGTACATTTCAATGGTGAATATCATAGGATATGCCTCCTCCCATACCACTTTTTGAGGTCCCAGTAATTACCTTATCAAATAACTTTTTTTTTTTTGACAGTCAGAGTGGACAGTGAGAGAGAGAGACAGAGAGAAAGGTCTTCCTTTGCCGTTGGTTCACCCTCTAATGGCCGCCGCGGCCAGCGCGCTGTGGCCGGCGCACTGCGCTGATCCAATGGCGGGAGCCAGGTGCTTCTCCTGGTCTCCCATGGGGTGCAGGGCCCAAGGACTTGGGCCATCCTCCACTGCACTCCCTGGCCACAGCAGAGAGCTGGCCTGGAAGAGGGGCAACCGGGACAGAATCCGGTGCCCCAACCCGGACTAGAACCCTTTTGTGCTGGCGCCGCAAGGCGGAGGATTAGCCTAGTGAGCCGCGGCGCCGGCCTATCAAATAACTTTTATTACTTGTATAATTATACATGAACATTTTAGTAAACTCTGTTCACTGAAAAAAAGTAAGCAAGTTGAAACAACAAATTATATGTTTGCTCTGTTTATAAGACACTTGGGTGTTGCATTGGAGCTCCTAAAGGACATGGGATGGAAGGAGACAATAACAAATGAACAGGGGCCACGTTGTGATGCAGGCATCCCATATTGGAGTGCCAGTTAGATCTGGCTCCTTTGCTTCTGATCCAGCTTCCTGCTAACACACCTGGGAAGGCCGCAGATGATGGCGAAGTATTTGGGACTGTGCTACCAAGTGGGAGACCCGGATGGAATTCCTAGCATCAGCCTGGATCAGTCACAGTTCAGGGAGTATGAACCAGGGGATGGAAGATCTCTCTCTCTCTCTCTCCCCTCTCTCTCTGCTCTTCACATAAATAAATAAAAAATTTTAAAAGAAGAATAGCCCCACAGGTATGGGTAAGTACTGAGAGGAGAGGAGCAAAGGATAGACAAAAGGCAGGTCCTCTGCAGCAGGGTGTAGCTGGTAGACCATCTAACACAGGGACATCTAATATTAAATTTGATACTATTGTACTATTATAGTATAAACTTGCATCTATTCCCCCAGCACCTGTATAATCAATCAAGCTACACACATCAACATAATGGATGGTTCAGGAGGAAGGAAAAGGGACTCTGTCTCTTGTCTGGGTCAGTGTACTGCATAGCAGGGGCAAAATATGTGGAGAATGAGATGACCAGCTAGTGATGAGGCAGGAGTTCAGAGGGAACTGGGACATGCATAAGCCACTCACTCCTTCAGAATCATGAGACATATGTGTTGAAGGAAGTGGGTAAAGCAGCTCCTACTCTATGTGAGGTAGAGTGAGCCAATTCATTGGTATCTCAGTGGGATTCTGCCATGAATTTTGATTAACTTTACAAGAAACCATCCCAAGAACCTTATTTAATTATGCTTTTGAGGATGTTTACTCAGTACCCTTTTACAAGGTCCCACAAGAAAATGCTCCTTTAGGTTTTGTGCTGGGGATGATTAAACTTATCCTGATAAATAATTGATTTGTCTTCTAGACGCTGAGTCATAGAACTGATCTTGCTTCCTTCTTTGGCTGGGCTTCTGGAGTCAAATGATTCTATCTATCACCAACCCAGCACCTTGCAGTGTACAACTTTGGGTTTGTACTTTGCTCTTGGCTCTCTCATCTCTCCTACTCTTGATTTTCCTCTGATCACTTATCTTTGATTTGTCACATTATATATTTTATTAGCATATTGCATCCATTTTAATAAAGTAAGGGAAATAATATAGTCATACAGACTTCTCCAGAAAATTTCAATCACTTATTTTCCAGTTGATTTTACTTTCCACATATAATCATAACACTTTACATCCTATTAAAATGATATGAAGTTGGCCGGCACCGTGGCTCACTAGGCTAATCCTCTGCCTTGTGGTGCCGGCACACCAGGTTCTAGTCCCGGTCGGGGTGCCGGATTCTGTCCCGGTTGCCCCTCTTCCAGGCCAGCTCTCTGCTGTGGCCAGGGAGTGCAGTGGAGGATGGCCCAAGTGCTTGGGCCCTGCACCCCATGGGAGACCAGGAGAAGTACCTGGCTCCTGCCATCGGTTCAGTGCGGTGCGCCGGCCACAGCGCTCTGGCTGTGGCGGCCATTGGAGGGTGAACCAATGGCAAAGGAAGACCTTTCTGTCTCTCTCTCTCACTGTCCACTCTGCCTGTCAAAAAAAATTAAAAAAAAATGATATGAAGTTGAGTTTCCCAACTGCATGAGATTTTGTAAATGTCCTGAAATTCTTCTACAAAGTACATACAGCAAAGAGACAGTGAATTATACTTGGACTGTAAGTCTCATAGTGACATGAATTATTGGAAATGGAACTGGGAGAAAAGGGATGTTGGCTGTTAGGAAAAGGAGTGCAATGGGTAAGAGCATACCAGTTTGTGCATGGAGCTAAACCAAGAGTCTACGTGCTGAGAACCGCTTTTCTCATCAGCTAAGACTTGGATGCTATAAGAAAGGAAAGGAACTAACCTGGAGGGATAATTTGGGGTATTTCAGTAAGTGCTAATCAATCATTGCACCTGCAAATATATCCTGTGAGAATAACCACAAACGGCTTCAGTCTAGTTGAACGCTCCTTTAAGCCTATGTGTTTTAGTTATTAGAAGAGTACCGGAAGTAATATCTGTTACATAATATATGAGAATTTGAACACAGGTTATTATGTTTGGCCAAGTGCCAGGATTGCTTAGGAAACCTTAACAGACTGAAAGAAAGACAGGCCTCTATTATTGCCAGAAACACAAGCTATGTATTTTTATTAGATTCTACAGGAGAAAAAGTGGGGAAAGTAAATGCTTCAGTAAAAATCCATGACTCGTCTGAAAGAACCAACTTTGGCATTCGTGGCCCCCCAGTCAAGGTATCTCCTATACTCCCCCGGCCTCAGCAGGTACTGCCTGCCCCGGTAGCTGGGCAGCTCATAGAGCACCCAGCAGCCCTCCAGCACGTTGAGGGAGTGGATTTCATTGAGGTGGAAGCGGTCCTGAAGAGACAGACAGTCGTCCGTGATCTCTGACATTTGTCCCCTGAAGTCATCTCTCTCGTAGATTCTTATTCTGAAAGTGCCAGAGTGCTGGGTGGAAGACAGAAAACAAATCGTCAATAAAGAGAGAAGGTTACAGTCCCTGCACCTCCCTGGCCACACATGCCCCGAAGTCTGAGTTTGCTTTGAGAATAGCCATGTTGCAGAGTGTAGGAGCCTTCCCACCCCAGCAGCCCACCACTGATGAGTGAAACGAATCACCAGCAAAGCTGGGGCAGAGCTCCCCAGCTCCTCAATCTCTGTTCCCCAGTCTCCGGTTCTTGGGAATTCAGATTTGCTTAAGATAAAATTTATCACATCGATTCAGTGCTTGCTATTTGAAAACTAGCTGAGTCTCACGCTGCCTTTCTGGCCTCCTACTCTCAGTTTATTCATTGCCCTGAGCAGCAAGACTCACTCTCATTGCACTCTATTTAACCCAGTGTCCTGTGCTTCCTGCACGCCACTCTCCCAAGAAGTGTGCAGTCACTCTCCAGAAAACACTCAATCTCAAACTCTAGTTTTGGATTTGACCTTACTCTAACTTATCTCTCTGAGGCAGCGGCTAGATTAGAAGAGGAACTAGAAGCTAGAGGCCTATCTTCTCTGGGAAGAATAATCCAGTAGAAAAGTAAGGCCAGGCAGCTGAAGTTTTTTTTTTAATGAACTGAGCAGCCCCAGAGTATTTGTCAATTTTCATGTATTGGATTTCTGACTTGATGTGGCACTGAATGAATACTTAAAGAAGTTATATCTGAAAGAGATGGTAAATTCAGTCTCTCCCATGGCTTGCTTTTTCTTAATCTTTGCTCTTTTAATTTTCATTACATAAAAATTAAAGTCTAGGAACATGTAATTGAAAAACAAAACAAAACAAAAAACAATCCCTCTGTAGAGGGAAAAACGGGCTGTACATCTGAGATAACTTTAGATTGAACTACAAGCATTGAGTCACTTCCTCTTTCTGCTCTCTATGTGGGACTATTTGGTTTAAGACGATGTTTTCAAACGCGTTTCATTTCCCAAGAGACAGTGACAATGACGGAGAGCCACACTCACTTGGGGGATGAGGCGGCAGGAGCGGATCGAGTCGCTGAGGCCCATCCACTGCTGGTAGTCGGGGTACTCGCCCCGGCGCAGGAAGTACTGGTGGCCCTGGTAGTTGGGGCGCTCATAGAGCATCCAGCAGCCGCTGTCCACGCGCACCGAGTTGCAGCGGCTGAAGTAGGGCTGCAGGTTGGGGCAGTCGCTGCTGCACTCATAGCAGCGGCCCTGGAAGCCCCGGTCCTCGTAGAAGGTGATCTGCAAAGGAACACACAGGAGCGTGCGGGTGATTTGTGACGCCTGCCCCCAACGAGGATGCTGCCTCAGGACCGAGGTTGAGCCCCAAGTGCCCAGGACTTACCTTTCCCATGGTGGAGAGAGGAAGCAGGGGATGGTCTCTCGGTGCTGTGTGGGACCGGGGGAGGCGCTGTATATATAGCAGCCCTGACTGCTGCCTCCACAGGAAATCACACAAAAGGGCCCATTTCGGTGAGTAAGGGGATTTGCAAACTCCCCGCTCTCCCTCCCCCTGGTCACTGGGGTTGGCTGAATGGTTTACTCTCATTCTTTCTGGTAGGTTCGGATTGCTCTGATTCACTAAAGCTGTTGTGGCCACCAAAATAAAAGACTCTTTACTCTTTGGGTTGAGCAAAAGGATGAGCGAAATTCTATCCCCGTGCTTTTATTCTATAGCTTACTCTGCTTAATTAACTTTTCAAAGGTATTAAACTTCACTGTGTATTCTGCTCTGCCACTGGTTTTGTTTGTTTGTTCGTTTTACCTTTTCTTTTTTTTTTAAAAAAGCCAGAATTTAAATAATTCGGAGTATTAAGGAAGAGGGAATCAAGTGAAATAACCTGTGACAGCGTGCTGTGAAAAGAATAAAACTTAATTCAAATTCAGATCTTGTAACCGTATTTGTGGTTCTTTGGGGGCTAATCTTGAATACATTTGAGAGTTAATTGGGAATTCTCCATTTTCCCGAGCCCTGGAGCAGAGGGTGTTGGCACACAGTAGGTCTTCAGTACTTGGTTGTGTCCTGAATAAAGCAGATGGTTGTGACTTTGCTCCCTTTGCCACATCTCCCGGCACCTAGATCCTTCTTTCTGCTGGTGGCTGCCCAGAATCCTGCTTTGTGATATCTCTGCCATTCTTCAAAGGTCCCAGGACAGTTCTTTATTCTTCACAATTAAAACACTTGCTCCCTTGGTAAGATTGAGTTGAGTAGTGTAAGGAGTCATGCAGAAACCCTAAAGCATCGCTCTGTTCTCTGCTTCAGTCTTGAGATGCTGGTGGGTGGGGCATCTCAGCGGGGTTCATATCACAGTGGGGTACAGGACTCTGGAATCCCTGAGGCCATTTCAATCTGCTCCTTGAGTCAACACAGTTTCCATAATAATGCTAAGGTGCTATTTACCCTTTTCACCTATATTCTTTCTCAACTAGGCTGCCGCTTTTTTTTTTTTTTAGAGGCTATTTTATATTGGAGATTTGCAAAAATGTAAAACAACATGTCCCTTCATTGTTTTTGTTTTGGAATATAATAGCTATGGTTCACAAAAATATGTTTGCATGTAATAAGTTTACTGACAAAGATCTTTCAGAGCAGGAAAGGCAAACCCATGTCCAGAACATACGGATTCTCATGAGGACAAATCATTGTTCCTTCCTAAGTAGAAGGAATCCAGGTACCTAACCTGCCACCAAGGGCTGATTGGTCTCCTACAGAGGTGGGAGCACATTGGGACTCACAGGTGGTCTCTCTTGCTGGCAGATTGGCCATTCTACACTGGTAGTAGCAGGAGTAGCTTTGGTGAGCGGGGAATTCATGCACAAGCTTCATTGGCTACCATCAACACTCTGCTGATGAGCCCATTGTGCCAGCACTCAGGTGGCTGATGGCAGAAGCTGGCTGGTATCAGATGACTGATCAGTCTGTCTACTTGAGTGTTTAGTGTCTTTTCCATGATGGATGTCTTATGAAAGGCATTAATAAGGAAGACAACCATTTTACACTGTGTGCCCACTTCCCCATACACTTGCCTCTATCTCAGAGTTTCTTGCCCCTAATTTTCCAGTCTTTCCCCTTCCAAGTCCTGAGCTAACTAGTCAAGGCTCTCATCATGGCCTAATGATTCTGTATCTGTTCTGATCTCAGGCTAGTTTTCTTCCTATACAAAGTGATGACCAGGTGCACTGCTGGAAGGCTGCTTATTGGAAGGATTTCTCTCACCGCTATATTAGGGCCACCCTGAGTGAGCTATAGTGCAGCAGTATTCCATCTTTGGCTGTTACTCACATACCAAATCGACCCATTAGTAAACAAGCTTAGCCTTTTTTCTCCTCTATCAGTTGGCTATTAAGGGACCCTTGTACAGCTATAAGTGTGAGTTGAGAGGGAAGTCGTGGAATAGTGGTGGCCTCAAGTCAACCTCATTTTTGAATTAGAGTTGTGATTGAGGCGTAGGGACTGGAATTTTGTGCTCTTGCATTGCTCAGTAATTTGCTGTGGGTTTCCATTGTGGATAGCTAACCTGGGGAAGGCAGACCCCTTCAGCTACAGAAAATTCCTAGAGACAAACTCAGCTTTAAGTTGCCAGCTGCTGGAGGAAGGAGTGCCTCAGGCGTGAGTGGGAGCCATATGTATGCTCTGTGTACCATACGTGTACTCTATGTGTACCATATGTATACTCTATGTGTACCATAGGAGGAAAATCAGGATGATCATGAACCCTAGCTGAGTCAGTCACAGTTAACATTGAACATTGTGGGTTTTATATCCCAGGTTTTTTTTTTTTTTAAAGATTTATTTATTTTACTTGAAAGAGAGAGAGAAGGAGAGGCAGAGAGAGAGAAGGAGAGGCAGAGAGAGAGAGGTCTTCCATCCACTGGTTCACTCCCCAATTGGCCACAACTGCCGTTGCTGTGCTGATCCAAAGCCTGGAGTCAGGAGGTTCTTCTGGGTTTCCCACGTGGGTGCAGGGGCCCAAGGACTTGGGCCATCACCTACTGCTTTCCCAGGCTGTAGCAGAGAGCTCGATGGGAAGTGGAGCAGCCAGGACTTGAACTGGCACCCATATGGGATGCTGGCACTGCAGGCGGTGGCCTTACCTGCTAGGCTACAGTGTCGGCCCCCCAGGTTTTTATTATATATGAAAAACCCATGTGTGTGTGTGTAATTGACACTGTATGACATGCTCTGGTTTTCTTCAAAGTCATCTTTTATTTTATTTTATTTATTTATTTATTTTTTGATAGGCAGAGTGGACAGTGAGAGAGAGAGACAGAGAGAAAGGTCTTCCTTTGCCGTTGGTTCACCCTCCAATGGCCGCCGCGGCTGGTGCGCTGCGGCTGGTGCACCGCGCTGATCCGATGGCAGGAACCAGGTACTTCTCCTGGTCTCCCATGGGGTGCAGGGCCCAAGCACTTGGGCCATCCTCCACTGCACTCCCGGGCCACAGCAGAGAGCTGGCCTGGAAGAGGGGCAACCGGGACAGAATCCGGAGCCCCGACCGGGACTAGAACCTGGTGTGCCGGCGCCACAAGGCAGAGGATTAGCCTAGTGAGCCGTGGTGCCGGCCCAAAGCCATCTTTTAAATAAAGTGATTAATAATGCTGACTAAGGTGATTATATTTAATCTTATATATATGTTTAAAAGATTTACTTATTTATTTTGAAAGGCAGAGTTACAGAGAGGCAGAGGCAGAAGCAGAGGCAGAGAGAGAGAGAGAGAGAGAGAGAGAAAGTCTTCCATATGCTGGTTCACTCCCCAGCTGGTCGCAATGGCTGGAGCTGCGCCAATCCAGGGGTCAGGAGCTTCCTCTGGGTTTCCCATGTGGGTGCAGGGGCCCAAGGATTTGGGCCATCTCCATCTACTTTCCCAGGCCATAGCAAAGAACTGGATCAGAAGTGGAGCAACCAGGACTTGAATTGTCACCCATATGGGATGCCGGCACTGAAGGTGGCGGCTTATCCACTGTGTTACAGTGCTGGCCCCTATATTTAACCTTTTAATAAAAGCATTATATTTTGGTAGAGAAAGACTGAATGAGAAATTATTCTGGCCTCTCTTTTTGTTAGCCATACTCACATCTGAGGCCTACACAGTCTTTAGGAGAGCACCATTCACCCGATGGCTTCACTGAGAATTCTAAACAATCTTTCGTATGCTGACAGTTCAAACTCTTTAAGAGTTCGTGTGACCAGCTCACAACCCTGTTTTTTAAGACCCAATATAGTCAGTGCCGTTTGTAGGTGAGCGCTTGAGGATGATGATGAAATATCACCTGGTAAGCACTAATGTGATTACCCAGATTTTTGACTATAGTGTGAAGGCTAAATGAATTAGGACCCTAGAGAAGCATCCTTTAAGTCACATAAATTCATGCAGACTCTGATTCTGATGGATGGAGAAACGAGTAATCCTATGAAGGGGAAGTTAATTATCAGCAACATAAAGTCAGGACATCATTGATTCTGAAAGAAGAAATTTAATGGTAAACATATTTCAGTATCAATTTTTACTCCTTTTAAAGGGTTCCCGTTGGCATTTGTTGTCCTCCAGGGGCGGGATGCCTGTTTTCTCTGGAACCTCATGAGGTTTTGCCTCCCCTACAGATGGGCCTCTCATAAGGGATCCAGAGTCTTCGATAGGACTGCAGACTGGGGGAGGGTGTCCTTGAGAGGGTGTGATGCTGGATGAGGAACTAGTCTTCAGGGAGCTCCAGCATGAGGTCTCTGTTGTTATCTGGTGCAGCCTTTTTCTATGGGGCTGTTCATCTGGAATGAAAAACAGAAGAGAAGAAAGAAGAAATGAGGGCATTATTATGACTTTATAAGATCTTTTTTAACACATAAAGCCTAACTAAAGTTGAATTTGTTCCATGCTTAGGTCACACAAATCAGGAAGCCTGCCTTTGATCAGACACATCAATGCACCTGCAATCCCAGCACTCACCATAATTTGTAGAATAAGATAGCCACTTTCTTCCCACTTCCCAGTGTGCTGATGACTTCCTCTCTGGGCAGGGGCTGGGGCCCTAAGAACCTATGGGCCCCAAAGATCCCTGCTGCTTCTAAGTTTCTAGGTACAGGGCCACTGGTTTTCTCAGAAAACACCTGTAAATAACGGGTACCCTCAATCCCAGTCCCTCCACTAATGCACTCTAACTCTATAGAAAGAGAAACTCAGGGTAGAGGCTTCCCTCATGGTATCCAGCAGATAACCAGTCCCTGGCAGGACTCCCCATGGAATGATAGAGTATGGGTTGGCTCTGGCTCATTTCTTAACCTATGCTACATAACGTTGTAGAATTTGTCCCAACCTCTTGCAAAGCCAATGGCACTCCTAAAGGATCCCTTAAGCAAATAACTTTATTAAGACATATTGGGGACAAACTAAAATACCTAGAAATGAAATATTTGTTCCAGTGGTTGGTGAGAGAGTTAATCTCATCTGCTGACTCCAAAGCCATGGGAATGTC